GGTTTTGACAACAAACAAGGTAAACAGAATAAGAAGCAAAAGGTGGGTGTGGCTGGATGACCACACTTCTGGTAACATGGGGGTGCGGCCTAATGTGCTAATGAGCTGTGCTGTCAGGGGTGTGGCCTAATATGCTAATGCGTTTCTGCTGTTGGGTGTGGCTTATTATGCTAATGAGTTCCTGCTGGGCTTTTTCTACAAAAAGAGCCTTGACGGAAATCATACAGAAGAATTAGAATTCAGTATTCAGGGCAGCAAGCATGTGTCCCTACACCATTGATCAGGACCCTACTGAGCTATAAAGTTGCTGGGGAATAATGTGTTTTCAGGTACTATCTTGTGCTTAAAGTATTATCACCACAGCCCACACTTGCATAAGCTGTTGATATGGTGGAGCCTTGGGATGTACAATCATGAACTCTGTGACTCGCTGACTCTATACATTTTCTCTCTGTCAATTTGGTATATTCTTGGCTCTGAGGAATGCAAAATTTCTCCCCAGAAGGTGTCACAGGGACAGAGGAAGGTCCCTATTCCTTAATAATATCACAACTCTTTAAACTGGAAGAAGCCTTGACTCTTGGGGGGGAAGGTGGGGGAATGGGTGGAGGTGGCTCAGCCACTAGGTGGACCTAGACCACTGCCTAGAGCACCAGTCTCTCCCAGATATGGAGAGCCACCAAGATGTCAACCCCCCCACCGTGGAGCACTGGTGGTGTGGTAGCAGGCCTGGGTGCTATGCTGCTGCTGCTGCTACTGCAGCCAGGTGTCAAGTGGGTGTCAAGTGGCCACATGTTAATGATGTGGAATTCACTGCTGCAGAAAGTGGTGGTGGCAACAAGCATGGACAGCTTCAAGAGGGGATTGGAGAAACATGGAGCAGAGGCCCATAAGTGGCTATTAGCTACAAGGGATAGAGGGGACACAATGTCTGTGGCAGTGATGCTCTGCATTATTGGTGCTTGGAGGCAACCTTGGGAAGGCTTCTGGAGTGGTGGCCCCACTGGTAGACCTCCTTATGGCACCTGGGATTTGGCCACTGTGTGACACAGATTGTTGGACTGGATGGGCCATTGGTAGGGTTACCATTCCTCCATTGGGGCCAGGGGATTCCCTGATTTCAGGGCCCCCAATCTGCCATGGCCCAGCTGGCCAGCAGGGGAAGCCCTACCCTCCAAGTAGCCCCCTACTGGTGGCAGTGGCACAGTGATATTACCCGGGAGTGAAGTCATTACATTTCTGATGTTGGTGGCAACGCTCTAGGTTTTGGGAAAAACTCTATGGTTCTGATGCCCAAAATCCATAGAGGTCTGCCCAAGAGTGTCACCCCCCAATGTAAGAAACGAAATTATGCCACTTCCGGGTGATGTCATCACAGTGTGCGCACAAAGCATGTACACCAGAAGAACTACAGGTAGAATCAGGAGCACCCCCCTGCCAACAGCGAGGTAGAACTTGGCAACCCTAGCCATTGGCCTGATCCAACAGGGCTTCTCTTATGTTCTTATGGATCTAAATAGGGCTCTTTTTGTAGAAAAAGCCCAGCAGGAACTCATTAGCATAATAGGCCACACCCAACAGCAGGGACTCATTAGCATATTAGGCCACACCCCTGACAGCACAGCTCATTAGCCCATTAGGCCGCACCCCCATGTTACCAGAAGTGTGGTCATCCAGCCACACCCACCTTTCCCTTCTTATTCTGTTTACTTTGTTTGTTGTCAAAACCCAGGGCTTTTTTTGTAGCAGGAACGTCTTTGCATGTTGGGGCACACACCCCTAATGTAGCCAATCCTGATGAGTTTCTGCTGTTGGGTGTGGCCTATTATGCTAATGAGTTCCTGCTGGGCGTGGCCAACTTGGGAGCCAGACGGAACTCCGTTCCTGTGTGTTCCTGCCCAAAAATAGCCCTGGATCTAAAGCAATAGCTGCCATACTACAGCAAACAGCAGCCCTGTGACACACCGCTGCTTCTCCTGCAGGTTGATGGCAGGCAGCTAGGGCCGTCTGCCCAGGCCCTGGGGTGATGGCTGCCATGCCACTGCTACAACCAAGTGGTGGGCAGCCAGGACCTTCCCCTGCCACTGGGAACACGGGCCTCCTGGCAAGCAGAGTCCCTGCATGCCAAGCTGCTGCTGTGCTCACCCAGCCCGCCTCCCCTTGCATCCAGCTCACCTTGCCCCACCCCCTGAAGGAAGAAGGAAGAAAGGATGTGAAGGTCTCCACCAGCATGCCACACACACTGCTCCACTTGAGGCATCTGTGGGTGCCCAATTTTGGTGGGGGGGGACACAATTTGTGTGGGGGGGGCAGCTCACTGCTCATGTAGGACTCCAGACCCATGGGCTCTTAATCAAATTTGGGCCATTTTAAAATCAACAATTTGGTGTAAGCAAGACAGAAAAAGAGCTTTGCAGGCATTGAAGAAGACTGGCCAGCTTCGTGGCTCTAGTTTAGAGTCTTACTTAGAGGACGAAATGATCACAATGGACCGGTTGCTCGTGGCTTCTGTTACATCGCTGTTGTTTTATTACACTGCTATTCTTTTATTTATTTCAGAGTCAGAGCAAAAATGTGCAGATGATGTGTCAAAAAGATGTTTTTCACTGGGCTGAAATACAAACTCCCCCAATTCAAGTGCTCGAACTTCCCTATGATCAGGGTGATCTTAGTATGATCATTTTGCTACCACATGGCAAAGAAGGTCTGGACCAGGTAATGTGGTTTGATGTCTGAGCGAATGCTGATCCCCCCCCCCCCCCTGCAATAGCACTAGACTTATGTTTCTGATAAACTGATCCATCAGAAAAATTATGTTAAAATTCAGCCATCTATTTCAATATTTTTGAAACAATCTTGTAGAACCATGGATTTCTTTGAGTCCTTGGCTCAGTTCTCAAGTTGCTTCCTGAGGTCAATTTGATTTTTAAATTCTAATGTTAACTTTGCTTCAATCTTTCAATAATTGAGATACATACCACACTGTTCAGGGACTTGGGCTTCTCAGTGGGCCCCACAAAACAAAGATAAAGGACCAGGGGTCATTTCCTGCAGGAGCGCACAGGAGCGGAGCTCCGGCAGTAAGGAGCCCAGAGGGTGGGCACATGCAACCAGCCCCACCCCCTGCTCCCAGCAGCCCTCAGTCAGAGCAAGAAACAGCCAGGTAAGCTGTAGAGCCACCCCACTCCCCTGCTCCAAAACAGTCCAGTGGCACCTTTAAGACCATGTTTTATTCAGGTACAAGCTCTCCCTCCTCTGTGAGGGCAGATCTGCATGTTCCCCCTGCTCCAATAGCTAGCAATCCAAAACAGTCCAGTGGAGCCTGAGTGGTGGGTGTTGCCTTCTGACACACTTCCGGTGATGTCAGGGGGTGTGGCATATGCAAATAAGTTATGCTAATGAGCTCCTGCACCTCTTTTTTACGAAATGACCCCTGTAAAGGACCTCAGAGCAAATGAATGGCGCACCCAGTGCACCGCTTCAGGATTCTCCCTTCCTCAGCCATTCACCTGTTAGTGGGGAGTGATTATTCAGCATTTGCAGTGGGACAGAACTGTGACCCTTTCCACACTCTCCTTTTAATCCATGTTCTCCATGCTGTCCTCCAAGCAATTCTGTACTAAAATCAAATTCAACCTTCTTTTTAAACCAGCTTTTCCCCCATCGTGCACTAAAATCGAGTTCAGCCTTCTTTTTATTCTGGGTTTTCCCGCCATTCTGCATTAAATTACCTCCCTTCAGTGGTCAGCCCGGTTTCAGCTTGCTGTTGCCCTGGGTTATTTGGATGCTGTTTTGCCTCAGCTCCAACACTGAGAAAATCCGGAGTGGCAGGCAAATGCGGGAAGGACCTGTAGAAAGCAACGCCTTTACAAAAACCAACTTGTTTTGACAATCCAGTTCAGTAATCTATCAAAGCATTTTTTCAATGCCAGTTTGAGAGCCAGTTTGGTGTAGTGGTTAAGTGTGTAGACTCTAGTCTGGGAGAACTGGGTTTGATTCCCCACTCCTCCACTTGCACCTGCTGGTGTGACCTTGGGTCAGTCACAGCTGTCCTTGAAAAAGAGCAGTTTGTGTCAGAGTTCTCTCAGCCCCACCCGCCTCACAGGGTGTCTGTTGTGGGGAGGGGAAGGGAAAGGAGTTCGTAAGCCACTCTGAGACTCCTTTGGGTAGTGAAGGGCAGGGTATAAATCCAATCTCTTCTTCTTCTTGCAAAAGCTTTACTGCAAATGGCTTTCTAACATGGTAAAATGTTTGGACTGCTTCTGCCAGAAAACTGAGTGCTCTCCCCCTTTCCTACAGTTTATGTTTCACTTACATTCATCATATGTTGCATTGTCTGTTTTTCTTGGACAGCTTCAGGAGGAGCTCACCTATACAAAATTTAAAGAATGGAGCTGTCAGTCGAACATGAAGAAGGAAAAGCTGGATGTTTGCCTACCGAAATTCAAGCTCGAAGAAAACTACCTACTCCCCGCCCCTTTGCAAGCTTTAGGAATGAAAGATGTTTTTTCTAGAGAAAAAGCTGATTTAACTGGCATGTCTGAAAGACGGGATCTTTTTGTTAGTGCCGTAGTTCATAAAGCTTATGTAGAAGTCAATGAAGAAGGTACGGAGGCTGCAGCGGCCACGGGTGCCACAATAGAGACTACTTCAGCAAGGCCAGGATTTAGAGCTGATCGGCCATTCCTTTTCTGCATAAGACACAACAAAACCCAGAGCATACTCTTTGTGGGAACAGTTCGCGACCCTTAAATGATAGAACACATTCTCTTCACAGCTCAGTCATAAACCTAGGATGTTATAGTGTTGTCCCCCGCCCTTCCCCCAAAGGCAATGGCGAACCCGTGAATCCTCCACGAATGACAAACCTGCCACAAACCAGCTCTCAAAAAAGAATACAATATTGCAAGACAGACAAAGCCAGTTTCAGAGGACAGAATGAAAGCCAAGCCCATGTGGCGAGCCAATACCCTTGGAAGACACAGGCACACCTTTAAAATGAAGAAAAAGCAGACCCGGGAGCCTTAAAACACTGGCTCCTGACATTCCCGGTTACTGCCGAATATTTCCCGGATTTTTCAGCACTCATCTCCTGGCATCCCCCAAAAAATCATAGGCTGATTTCGCACTAGAGCTGCTTCGATGTAGCGCTGCCATTTGCCCTGATACTATTGATCAATTTCACACCTGAAGGCATGGGGCTGCATTTGACCCGCAGCTTCGCCCGATTTCCTCCGCAGTTTCGTGATCCTCAAAAAACAGGATCACGAAACTGCAGGGAAAATCAGGCGAAGCCGCGGGTCAAAATGCAGCCCCGCAGCTTTGGGTGTGAAATTGACCAATAGTATCAGGCCAAACGGCGGCGCAACATTGAGGCAGCTCTAGTGCGAAATCAGCCATAGATACCATCCAGACACATGGATATATCTACTTACCTGGCAGGGGAGACACCACGATCACGAAAGTGGTTTTCTCAGGGTGAGGCTCATCCATTGCTCATCCATTGTCAAAATCAGCACTCCGGGTGTGCTGACCCCTGCGATTTCCCCAGATGTGGGAAACTCGACTGCATAATTTGTGGTATGTATAAAATACCAATAAAATAATTTGTGGTATATATAAAATACCAATAAGGGGGGGAGTTGTATATATATTTGGACCAGATATATCTTAATGCACATCCCTAGATGCCAGCATCCATTTGGTGGGGCGGGGTGTCTGGAGATTTCCTGTAATTACAACTGATCTCCAGACTCCAGAGATCCCCTGGAGAAAATGGATGCTTTGGAGGGTGATGTCATACCCTGCTGCAGGGGGCCTGCTGAAGTCTCTCCCTTCCCAAACCCTGAACTCCCTAGGCTCCACCCCAGTCGTGAATTGACTACCAGGAGGTTAATTCCAGGGGGAAATTTAGTGGAAAAGAATTTCCAAGAGTAGCATAAGAATTTCCCTCACAGAAATTCTGTAGTATTTCCCCATAATTTTACAAGGGAGATCTCATGATACAACAGGACACAGTAGAGTTGGATGCCAAATTACAGAACTACTGAGAATCCCCTGGCAAGTTCTAGCTGTCTGGTATCTTATGAACCCTTTCTGGACCGTGCTGAGACTTTCTGAAGTCTACCTTGGGGCTGGAAAGGTCCCCACTCTGTGACCATGGCTGATTTCGCACTAGAGCTGCCTCGCTGTTGCACTGCCGTTTGCCCTGGTTCTATTGGTCAATTTCACACCCAAAGCCGCACAGCTGATTTTGACCCGCGGCTTCGCCTGATTTCCCCCGAAGTTTCGTGATCCTGTTTTTTGAGGATCAACGAAACTGCGGAGGAAATCGGACGAAGCCGCGGGTCAAAATCAGCCCCGTGGCTTCGGGTGTGAAATTGACCAATAGAACTGGGGCAAACAGCGGTATAACAGTGAGGCAGATCTAGTGCGAAATCAGCCCACGTCTCACTCACTTTGCTCCTTTTACCATGTGGTCGGGTGCTGCCTCCTCCTCTTTGCTAGGCTGAAATTTGAAATGCTGATTTGGGTTGTTTGACCCACTCTGGGATGTCTGATTTGGGTCCAGATATAGCAAGTCTGCTTCTTTTTCTGCTATCCATCATTCAGTCATCATTCATTCAGATGAGATTTCAGAGTGTTTGATCAGTCAAATACTTCTGAATTGTAACAGATGACATATCAAGTTCAACTGAACTTTGACAGCAGTTCTCAGAATAAGTCCTATTTTATTCAGTGGGGCTTACTCCCTGGAGAGTGTTCTTAGGACTGCAGACTTCCCCTCTTAAATGCTTGGGCCTGTTTTCAGATAAAATTTATGTTAGATTACCCTTTTTATTACCCTCTTTATCTCAAGTTTTATGCAAAATAAAATATTGCTTGCTTATTAGATTTATAGCATGTAATCAGAAGAAATTGACATGCTTTGCCTATGAGTCTTTCTATGATCATAACTAATATAACCACACTTTCAGAGATGCACATTATAACATATTCTGTTTACATTCCTAGTTATTCTAAGTACACGTAGGTTTGTACTCCTAGATCTTTATCTTCCTGAAGGTAATTTTATGAAGTTTCCATCTTCTTAAGAGATTCTGTAAAATGAATTCTTACCTGTAGCATTGGAAAAAAATTAATAAAGCACTTAAAGTATTGTTTTAGACTGTTCATTACCCAAGACCTTATATCATCAATTCTCTGGAATGGCTTTCGATCCACTTGGTTAAAGGTACTCTGTCACAAACTGAACTCCCCAGAGTTTCTCTTTAAAATGCCCTTAGATCAAGCAAAGGCCCTGATCAAGCAAAGAATATTGGACACTGAAAGACAGGGAGACAGCAGAGTTTCAGATTTCCTGGCATCAAAGAACACTAGATATGTTGTGATTCCAGCAGCCTACTTATCGCTGTTAAAGGTCCCGTCCAACCGCAGGGCTTACTCTATGGCTAGATAGAATATACTCCCCTCGGTGGTAGTGGAGGAACATTATAGGAAGATCCCATTATCAGAGAGGGTTTGCCTGTGTGGAGCAGGGACAGTTGAGACCAATGAGCATATCTTGCTTCACTGCCATTTCCACCAGGAAATCCATGCGAAGATTATTGCACCCTTGCTTGGGAGGTTTTCTGCTTGCTCTGAATCTGAAATTACAAGGAAGTTCCTTTCAGACACAAATCCTCAACTCACGCCCCCTGTGCCAGATTTTTTGCAGTATCATGCAGAATTTGAAGAAGAAGAAGAAGAAGAAGAGATTGTGTTTATACCCCGCCCTTCACTATCCAAAGGTGTCTCAGAGCGGCTTACAAACTCCTTTCCCTTCCCCTCCCCACAACAGACACCCTGTGAGGTAGGTGGGGCTGAGAGAGCTCTTGACAGAAACTGCTCTTTTTCAAGAACAGCTCTGACAGTACTATGACTTGCCCAAGGTCATCCAGCGAGGTGCAAATGGAGAAGTGGGGAATCAAACCCGGTTCTCCCAGATTAGAGTCCATGCACTTAACCACTACACCAAACTGGCTTTTTCGTTGCTGTTGTTCAGTCGCACAGTCGAGTCCGACTCTTCGTGACCCCATGGACAAGATCACGCCAGGCCTTCCTGTCTTCCGCCGTCCTCTGAAGTTTGCTCAATTTCATGTTTGTTGCATCTATGACACTGTCTAACCATCTCATCCTTTGCCGTCCCCATCTTCTTTGACCTTCAATCTTTCCCAGCATCAGGGTCTTCTCCAGTGAGTGCTCCCTTCTCATTTGGTGGCCAAAGTATTTGAGCTTCAGTTTCCCAAACTGGATTTGCAGGGAATTAACACAGAATGCAGCTGAATCATAAAATGTAGATGTTTTGTTCAATCTGTTTTAAGAATGCATAGGCCATTCAGTAATTTTAAATTTTGTGTATTTCCTAAAACCTATTAGATTTGTGTACATTGTTGTAACTGATCTTGTGCTGGTCACACACCATAATAATAAATCTGATTTGATTTGATTACCACATTTAGGTCCCGGTCACACGAAAGGTTTTGGCCCGGGAGAGGGACGGATCGGGGGCGCAGCAAATGGGCGTGATCTCACTGCAACATCTGGGAAGCGGCGCGCACCCATCCCCGATCCGTCCCTAAAGCCAGAAAACTCACTGCAAAAAAGAACCACCTACAGAGGAGGACTTACCTGGAACGCCACATCAAGCACGGCCGTGGGATTGCCGGCGCACCCGTCGTCCGGAACAATTCAGGCTTCCGGCCGAACTGTGCATGTGCACACATGCGTAGTTTGGCTGTCGTGCTCTTCCTTCAGTGGCTTCCCCCCCCCCGGCATCTGATCATGCCAGGGAGGAACTGCATGGTGGCTCAGGGGATCTATGTGATCCTGCCGCTGCATGTCTCTTTTGGTGCGACTTTCAAAAGCCGCACTTTGCCCGTGCTTCCCCCGTGTGGCAGGGGCCAGAGTCAGCCAATTGGCAGACTCTTCCTTAATCTCAGCTACAGTGTCCTATGTGACGTCACCAGGGTTCCTATACTTTATAATGCAGTCCTAAGGATTGATTTGTGGACCATAATCAATGGCCAGTTTTTCTCCATCAGACATCCAATGCCTTAACAGCTGGACGGCAGGAAAAATTCAACTAGTGATCCCTCCCTGCTTTCTGTTATGAAGAATGACTGCCTCTCATTCCATTTTAAAAGCAAACGAGCACTGCAAGAAAAAAAATAGTGGCAACCTTGACACCGTGAGCTTCCAACTGTGTGCTGAAATTGTTTAGATCACCTCTCTAGAGGGATGCATGATTCTAAAACAGAAACTCCATTTTTAGTACTGGGCAAAGGGATGCTTGCTTCTAGCTGACAAGATTCTCCATTTATATAGTCACGTTTGCAACAGGACATGCAAAAGAAGCCAACAGCTCAGACCTAACCTCTGGCTGGAGTGACTTGCTGTTGATATCAGGAAAAAAAAAGATGCCTTCTTCTTCGGTGGGGGAAGTCATCCATGCTGGTTAGGTCATGCCCCCTCTCACTCCAGGCAGGGCTATGGAAATTTTTGTATGCCTTCCAGGACCTAAAGGGGTTGTCCTTCCAGACCTAACCAGTGTGGATGACTTTGCCCCACCAAAGAGAAAAGAAACTTTCAGTTAAGTCCAATGTATTGTTTCCTATGGAACAGAGAACACAGCAGATGTACTGGTGACCATGATGACACCACCATTCATGGAGAGGCATACCAACAACGCCCATATGTTTGCCATACATGAAATTATGGTAAAAATTGTTAAAAGTGTTTAATACTCAGACTATCGATGGATCTTGCTCTATTGGAAAGAAGAGTTTTCTTTGCTTTTAAAAACCTTTATTTCTAAGGGTAAAAGGTACACGGGATTACTACAAATAAAGATAACTCTAACAGCTACATTTTCTAAGCTGTCTATAGTCAAACACTAACCCACAGATAATGGAGAATCTGTCCTTCTTCTCGACCCCTAGAAAGGAAGTCACCTAAAAACAAACAACCAATCTGTATCACAGTAGAAGCTACTTTTCCCAGCCTAATTCCCCATCGGCTCAATGCCAGGTATCCCTTCCAGGTCAGTCTAAACAATAGCAATACTAGGCAAACAAGTTAACCCTATAATGACTGGATTGTCAGACCTTGCAAAGACATACATTTCC